TGGAGCCCCAGGGAACGAGGATGAAGGCACTTAATGCACACACAACCCATCTGCCCCATACTTTTACATTGAGCACCCCTCTCGTGTTCAAGTGACCCTAAATGACTTTGCTAAATTGAGATAGCAACCGCGATGCTGTTCTTGCTTCCTTGCCCCTCAACATATCACTTCAGGCACTAAAGTTTCCTTTAACCTCATTTTTAGGGGATTTCCCTTGCTTTCAGGCCTGGGGCCATAGTGAATAAAGAGACTTTGGATTTTTGTTCCTATGGAATTAGGAATGAGAAAGTTGTGTAGGAGAGCAATGAGGATACCCGAGAGAGGATGTGCCAGCATGTCAGAAGCAGCCGCTCCAAGTCACCCAGGGCCTAATATGTAAAAATAGATCTATTTTAAGAAGGAGAGAACAAAAAAGTGCACGATAGGTTTTAGATGAGAAATAATTTGGGAGTGAGAAAGAAAATGATTTCACTCCTGCTGCACCTCAGCCCTGCCAAGTGCGTTCTATAATTAATAACTACTTCAGATGAAGTGACTTTCTTCTGAATGTGCAGCATTAAACATTTAAATCCCTCCCTGTAAATATAAGACAGTGGCAGATATCTCCACAAGCCTTGCAGTTACACCCTAATGTATATTTATATTTGAGATAAGTATTTTTAGCAAGAACTACAAGTTCTTTCTCTATTTGATTACATCAGAGCTCTGTTTTACATTGAGTGTCTGGGCTGCAAAAATACCCTATTCGTTTTTCTTCTCTTGGAGTCTTGCAAGAGTTTCTGCCCTTGTCTTGTCTCTTTTGTTATTATGTCCAATTTGGTTCAATTTGTCTCCCAAGAGGACTGAATGATTTTATGCCCCCTCTCATTCCTAAAGAAGATATAATGTGGTTTAGTGATGGACTTGGCAATGCTGGGGTAAAGGTTGGAATTGATGCTCTTAAAGGTCTTTTCCAGCCTGGCTGATTCTATGATTTTAATATATAAAACTTGAAATAGAGCAAGTAGAAAAACAGCTTCTGGTGTTTTCCACCTTGCAGCTTGGGCCAGCCTGCAATCAGGTCATGCCAGCGTAACTACCACCACTCATAGAATAGTTTGTGTTGGAAGGGACCAGTTCCAAGCCCCTGTCATGGGCAGGGACACCTTCCACTAGAGCACGTTGCTCCAAGCCCTGTCCAACCTGGCCTTGAATACTGCCAGGGATGGGGCCTCATGGCTACACATGCTGTGGCCAGTGTCCTGCTGTGGAAAGCAACTGCAAATGATTCTTTCTGGAAACCCCAGTTCTCTAAGTATTAATGATGCTGTTTGTGTAGCTTTGTTCTCCGACAGAGATGCTTTTGCCCAAGTCAAAGCATGAGGATTGATCCAGCCCAAGCCAAGGATGGGTGTGTACAGTGTTTTCCAGAGGAGGAACTACCTATTGGAATGTCCACTTCACCTTCAACTCTCATGGAGCCCATGAGGAAAATCCATGCAAGGTAGACGTGTCATGCTGATATGGCTGGAGGTGGGACTCAAGAGTGTGTACCGGTTTGAATATCCTCACCAGTATGGGTCTGCAAACACATCCCTGGAATCATAGAACCATAGAATCAAATAGATTGTAAAAGACCTTTAAGATCATCAAGTCAAACCATTACCCCAGGATTGCCAAGTCCAAGTTTAGGTTGGAATAGACCTTTATAGGTTGGAAAAGGACCTTTGGAATAGGTTGGAAAAGACCTTTGAGATCATCAAGTCAAACCATTACCCCAGGACTGCCAAGTCCAAGTTTAGCCTATCTAAGTTCTAGATGGACAAAAGCATTTGCAGATTTGCAACGGAATGCAGGTGACGCAGATCAGGGCTGCACATCTGTAGGGTTGCACATCTGTAGGGCTGCCCTGTAGCTGCGGAAGGGCTGCAAGGTGATGGAATAGACAAGTTCTTGGGCAGATAAAGCATAAGGAAATGAGGATTGCCTTCATGTCTAAGGATAAAATCTCTGGATGTGAATAGAATGAATACTGGGAAAAGCAAACCAAAGAGGGGCAGGGAAAAATCCTTCGACAGAGCAACAGCAGCCCTGGATGCTGCCTGCTGCGAAGCCTCATCTTGCAAGGCCAAGAGGCTTCAAGTCTTTTTATTGCCCTTTGGAGACACATCTTTGTTCTATTTTATTCAGCCTATATTTAAACTTGTCCCTCTGTGTGTCCACTCGACCCAGTGATGCAAGAGTCTGCCAATTCCTTTGAATCCCCTGGCAGCATCCTGTATTTGCTGGAGCAATAGTGCTTGCTGGGCTTAACTCCTAGGGACCAAAGAGCAAGAATAAGTATAAGCAATAGCCAAAGCAGCAACAAACCAACCTTTGCAAAGGCTCCTAGTGATGACTGTGCCTTATGGCTTAATATCCTGTGAATAGATGAATATTAATACAGAAGGACATTTTGTACCCCTGGCACTGTGTGTGAAGGGCTTTTCACCTCTCTTAATCTAGGAACATATTGCAAGTGCTTTGAAGCTAAAGCCTGCCTTGGGCTCTGTTTTGGCTACAGTAGAAGCTTGCTGCTCTGGCAGTGGAGACCTGCAGTGTGATGCAGGATGCTCACAGCAGGCACCAGTGACACAAGCAGGGCAGTGGTCCCCCACCACAGCGTCTTTGCAGCTCAGAGCAGACCCTGAATGGATCCTCATGGCTGCCTGCTTGCCTTGCAGTGGTGAGATCAGTTGCTTTAACTTTGCCTGCTGCAAGAGAAGCTGCACTGCGAAACCCCCACTTCTCCCTGTGTACATCTCACATGAGCCTCCTGTAGCCATTGGAGAGTGCTTTATGTTCCTGCCACCCTTCTCCCCCTCCTCTTCCAGCAGGAATAGCCTTAAACCTGGCTCTTCCAAGGAGTATTTTTGCATTCCATTGCCTGCCCCTTTCTGCAGCTTTTAACCTCTCTGGCACAGGGCAGTTTGTGTCATAACCAGTGTCATGTTGTGCTGCTGATTGTGCTGTATAACCAGCCAGAGACCTGCCCTCCCTCCCAAGCTCCCTCCCTGGGTGAATGCTGAGCACGCAAGAAAGATGCTGCAGGCTGCAAAAAACAGAGGATCCAACTTTATTTGCTAGATTCTCACCCAGAAGGAAACCCCACCTTCCACATCCCTCTGTATCCAGACCCTGTCCCATCTGCATGGGCAATAGATGCAGGAATTCCAGCTCACATTAGCAGCCAGCATGGAAAGGCCACTGGGGACTTACTCCAGAGCTTGAACCCAGAATAGAAAAGGGGCTCTGGTTTAGAACTAGGTGATCTTAAAGTCCTTTCCAACCCTAACCACTCTATCTAAGGATGGCAGTGATGGTGGTTTGATTCTGGCCAAACACAAGCTGTTTTGGAAGCAGGGAAACAGAGAACAGACGAGCAGGAAGCAGAAGCTGATGCTCTGTGCCTGCAAGTGTGGGTGTAATATCAGTGTTTGAGCAACTTCCAATCATTACGCTCTCAATGGCATTTTTCCCTCATAGACCTCAGCATTGCAAGGGGGTTTCAGGGATGCTGTCCCTATTTTAGTGAAGCAGAGAGCATTTCACCTCCAGACCAAAATGGGCTCATCATTCTCCTGACCCCAGACTTGCAGAGGGCTCTCTGCCAAGGAATGCAACACCTTGTCAAAGCTATCTTGCAAATAGTGTTGAGGCCTTGGAAAAAAAATTACCTCTATGCAATGAAGACAAAGATCCCCCCCCCCCCCCCCCCGCTTATTCCTTTGGTTTTCTGGCTGGTGTCTCATAGAAACAGAGAGGAAAATGGAATAAAAGTAGATTGGCTACAGAGGAAGTTGCAGGAATGGCATGAACACACAAGGATGGTGCATGGGATGTGCCCATGCTCCACTCTGCTGTTGCTTCTGCTCCACTGGATGAGCCCTGGCAATAGGAACAGATCAAATGGCAAATTCCCTGGCTCTTCCCCACTGGAGAGGGCTACAAGCTGGGCTCCCTTGTATCTGCTTCCACTCCATCTGGTTTGACAGCAGAGAGGGCATCAAAATCAATCTTACAATGGCTCCAAGGGAGAACAAAGCAAATCTCAGCTGGGACCCAATAGCTCTGTTAATCACCATGAATAAAGCTGTTTGCTTTTTCCAGAGTTGAGGGTCTGGGATAATCATTGCTTTTCCTTTCCTACTGCTGTGGAGGGATGGGGAGGAGGGCAGAGTAACAGAAGAAGTTGCTTGAAATGATCTGTAAAACATCTGGGAAGAGGAATCCAGGAGCTCTGATTGCAACCTGAGCTCAGGCGAAGGAATGCTGAGGGGTTTGGCTCTTTAGAAATACACCCATCTCAATACATGAAGGCTGAGCCCTTCTGAACTCATTCCATAGCTTATTCTAGACAGAATTGAGTGCCAGCTCTCTGCAATTGGAAGCCACACTCTGCTCAGCAGGTAGTAAAGTAGGGACTGATATCCATCTGCTGCTCTGACTGAGGAGGTGGCACCAAAAGTGGGAAGAAAATAAACCAAGCTCCTGGTGGAAGATTTCAGGGGGTTTTGAGGGCTGTGCACAGGGATTTAATAGAGGTGCATAGGCACAGGTAGTGTGGAAGCTTGAGGAGACCTAGGAAAAAAGCCAAGTCCACATCCAGTTGCATACAGCCCCTGCTCCTGGTGAGGATGATGCCAGTACACCAATCTTGATGGCACTGCGCAGTCCATCCTGCTACGCAGAGCTGCATCTCTTCATCCACTAACACTCCCCACAGAGGAAGTATGTAGAGGGAGATGTGGGTCCTGAGGACCAGAAGCAGCTAAAGATGAGGAAAATCTGCTTAGCATCTGGAAACTGAAATCTGAGGGGTTTAGGTCCAGGTCCTCAAGCTCTTGGCTTGAACCCACTTGAATTCACAGCACTGAAGATGAGTGAAGCCACACGTCAGCAAAGGTTATTCCTATGGGTGAAGCCACAAGAAGGTTATTCCCAAGGCATCTAAAAGTTCAGCTTGGCAGAGAGAAGGGTGTTTTGGCTGGAGCATGAGTACTTGTGGCATTACAGAGTGCACTGGAGGACTGTGCCAACAGCCATGGCCATCAGCGCCAGTGCTGCAGAGCTGCGTCCCACCCCATTGCTGCTCCTGTTGTCGTCGGTGCAGAGGTCGGTGTAGCAGCACGACTTGGGTTTGTTTGCCCCTATCCCGTTGTAGGAGACACATTCCTCCTCACAGTTTCTGGTCACGGTGATGTTGCCGAAAAAGGGGTAACCTGGAACAGGCAGATGGGATAAGAGAGGGAAAGAAACGGTAAAGGAAGGTGCAGACATTGAAAAACACTCACTTGGTGCAATGGAGAGGAATTAAAAGTAAGGTGTTTATAGACAAATAAAGGCAAATAAGGCACTGAATTTCTCTAATCCATAGGTGCCCATAATCATCTTTGTAGGAATGGGTCCCCCACTTCTCCCTGCTGATTCCTACTTTCCCTCCTGCTCCTTCCAAGTTTATTCCAGCATGGACAAGGGACACAATTCCCTGTCTATTTTGTTCAGGTGAAGTGTTCCTGCACAGGGTGCCCAGAGAAGCTGTGGCTGCCCCATCCCTGGCAGTGTTCAAGGCCAGGTTGGACACAGGGGCTTGGAGCAAGCTGCTCTAGTGGAAGGTGTCCCTGCCCATGGTAGGGGTTGGAACTGGATGAGCTTTAAGGTCTCTTCTCACCCAGACCATTCCAGGATCCTACAATCTCTCCCCATGAGCACTCACAGCAAGCAGTGAACCTTACCTGAGTCTACAGAGTGCAACGTTGTTGTGCATACGATGGATTTCGGGGGGCAGAGGGTGACTGTTTTGCACTTAGCAATGTCCGTTGGTTCCTTGCACGTGTAACATCGTAAGGCCTGGGCTGCAGAGAGGAACAGAATGGATCTGAGACGGGTGCAACAAGTCTACAGCTTCTCTCTATAGCTGGGACTATGTGATGGCCAGTCCTTCATCCCCCCTTGACCAAGATGCAGTGGTCTCTGAAACTAACATCTGGAGGCAATGGCAAAGTCAGAGGGGAATGACCATACCCCAGTACCAAATGTCAAGGATGGTGTTGGAAGAGTTGAGTATGATCACTACCTTGAGGGTTCAGCAACCCATAAAGAAGGGGCCTAGAGGGATCTATTGCATCCTCTTTAAGGAATGCTGTAACACAAAACAAAACAACTCCTTCTGTTGAGAGCAGCATTTGCCAGCACTGAAATACTGGCAGTTCTCCCATCCCTCCACCCACAGGCACAGCTTGTTTATAGGGATTTCAGCAGAACCAAGTAACCAAGAGCAGAATTTCCATTTCAGAGCTGTCTCAGAGATCCAAAGGGCTGCATGTGGCCTAAAAAACCCACTTCCATCAGGAGCCACTGCTGCTCTTTAAAAGAGGTGATGCTACAAAGCTCTTGCCGGTTGTCTGCTGACAGAGGAACACTTTTACATATGCAAGCATTGATCACAGCAGTTGCTCAGACACCTCGGTATGAGCCCTCTCCATCCGCAGCCAGCAAATAGAGAGGGTTCATATCGTTTAGAGTCGTGCTGGTGTGGCTTGATGACAGAAACCAGCCTGGTTTGGTATTTGCTATCCTTGGTAGAAACCAGCGCAGCAGATAAAGAGCCATCCAAATGTGTCCACTGCCATCTATTGGTAAAATAGCAGAGAGACGATGTTTTCTTCCGCCCGTTCTGCACCATCTGCTGTTAGAAAGCAGCCTCTGGGACTTTGTGATAAGGAGAAGCATTTCTGAAGGCAGGCTTTTGAACAGTTTCCTTTAGGAAGAGTTTTCAGGGCATCTACTTATCTTAGTGCCTCCTTTGGAAAATTCACCTGTGAAATAGAGCCTACGCGATGCAAAGACTTTCTTAGCCCTCTTTGTAGACACAGGAAGGACTTTTTAAGCAGTGGTGGTGTTCTTGTGACATATCCTTTGTAAACTGGTGCAGTGGAGCCATCCCTATTTACCTGACCTGAGGACCTCGATAGATCCCTTCCAAATGACCATGAGAAGCTGCTTTATACATATAGAATATATACAGAATATATGTTTAACATATAGTGCTACATATATTTATGCAACATATATTTGTAACATATATATGTATGTAACATATATTTTAACATATATATTTATGTAATATGTATTTTAACATATAGTGGCCACTGAGAGAGAAAACACATTGTCAGCCTGACAAGCACGTGGATGCCTGTGAGTGTGTAGGACTGGCCACCATATGGATGGATCAGTGCTTAAAGCATCTGAGAAACTGATCTGCAACTCTTGGGTTGAGCTGGTTCCCCCAAAGTCACCATTTTCATGGATGAGCAGGGCAGTGCCATGGGCTCTGGGGAGTTACTTCCAGTTAAAAGCAGGTTTAAGGAAGAAAATAGATTCCCTGGCTCTGGATGGGGCACTCAGAGGACACTGGTTTTGTAGGAAGGTTGCAGTGGAAAAGCCCAAACCCACAAGGACCAGAAGAGAAGAACTGATTGTAGAAGACAGTGCTGTGTCTTGATCTGAGACCAATAATTCACCATTCATCACTATCCAACAATACCTTCTGATCACAGACATATTCCTCAGCTGCAAGAGCTGTGCCTAGACCACCTGCCTCACATTGGATCATCTCAGGAAAGCCATTTCTGCATCCATCCCAACTCTAAAGCAATGGCTGGTGATGCCTCCCTGTTTCCATAAAGCATTTTTAGACCTGTGGATGGATAAAGCATTTTGAGACCTGCTCTGTCAGTTCCTCAGTAATCCCATTGAAGGCAGGAAAGGGTTAGAACCAGGAGAAAAAGAAACAAAACACATAATATGTAAAATATCTAGAAAAGTAGGAAAACACCGGCAGGTATTGAAACATGGGTTTGACCAAGGGCTCAGCCAGCACTTGGGTTTCCTTTAGCAACAAGTGGAAAGAAGAATGAAGGTAGGGGGTCTAATGAAAGCAATGCAGCCTGAAGAAGACACCCAACACACTTCCATGCATAATGACTTGCAGGGTGTATGCCTTTCAGTCTTCTTCCACTTGCAGCCCTCAGAGTGATATCCATAAAGCCATGCCTCCGGAGGGTGGTGTTCAATCCTGCCTAGACTACATTTCCTTTGTGATATTCCAGAGGCCCATGAAAGCAGCCTGAGGATCTCTGAGCTGCAGGTTAAAACCCACTGGGTTGGTCACCCCAAGTATGACTGTTTCAGCCCAAGGATGCAGTTGCAGTGGGTCACAAACAGATGGAGTAAGAATACAGCAATGACCAGTCCCTGCTGCCAGCTTCTTCAAGATCCAGACCCATCAGAGATCAAACCCAAACACACCCAGGGGAATTTCCAATCTCCACCTATATCCTAATGTCTAGAAATAAGTCAAAACCTTGGAGCTGGTTGTTTAATGAACCTTTCCAACGTCCTTGGAGTTATTTCTCATGCCCTCACCCCTATCTATACCGAAGCCTCACCCTTTGGTTTTCAGTGCTTCCAACACTCATCTGGGTTGTTTTAGGGACAGCAGGAGCTCAGGATGATCATATCTCATCCTGTCCCTGAGGTGACAGGTTGGCAGCTTAAGTAGAGGCTGTTGGTTCAAGTTCTTGCCCATGCTCATTCTACCCTGTGCCCTGTGGCTGTCATTTACACCTTAGTTTTATAAAGCAGCGCGTTGGTCCCCTGCATCCCAGGGTATGGTGTGAGCAGGGTTGGGTGATGGTGACCACCTGTGTGTCCAGATGATGTGCACTGCTCTCAGTCAGGCATCACAGCTCTCCCCACCAGGAATACATATCCCTTTTCCCCATTCACCCTCTCCATTGACCTTCTTAAATACATAAAGGAGTTATTTCTCCTACCTGGGGGTTACCATTGATGCCTTTCCCCTCCCCTCCCAGGCATTTCCAGAGGGAGTCCCTGCATTACTGGGGATACAGCTGTCTTACCCAACTCCATGTATGCCAGGCCAAGCAGGAGTCCAAACAGCAGTGTCTTCATGCTGAGAGCAGATCCGTGCAGCGAGGACAGTAAAGAAGAGCAGCTCCCGGGGAGCTTTATATGTTTTCCCACCCTCTGCTACCTGTTGGTCCTGTGGGCGGATTCCCTTGGGGTGACCAGGGGAGAGCTCAGCTCCAGTCTGGATTGGGATTTGTAGAGGAACAAGTTCCCCAAGGAGGTGACATCACCGCAGTGAGCAAACTCCTACCATACATCACCTCTCCTTCAGGTTTATATCCTGGGGCTGGTCCCATGGAAAAGGAAAAACACAGCTTGCACTGCAAGGCATGGCCCCATGCCAGGGCTTGGATGGGGAATGTGACAAGGTATGTTTGTTCCTTCAAGTCTGGCTCCATGAGCCAAGAGCTGGGTTGTGTTATGCGTGTTACACTGGGCAACAACAGTCAAGATGCAAGCGGCAGCAGGCTTGGGCTTCCACATGTGTTGGCTCAGGAACATCCAAGCCTGTGCCATGGTTTCATGGCCTGGCAGGTGGGAAGCTGGCATGGCTGCTTCTGCCCAAAGCATGCCTCTTTTCCCTAATCCAGTGCAATAACAAGCCCAACTTCTGGCTCCCAGGGAGTTAGTTAAGAACTGAGCCCTGGTGCTGAGCTGCTGGGCATGGGAGTTGCTGAAAGGTCAATGGAGGGGAGCATGGAGATAGTGCTTCCATGTATGGGATCTGGATGTGTTGTTTTGTTTCAGATCCTGGGTCACGCTGGCAAAGCAGGGTGCTGTGCCTTCTGTAAAGCATTCTCCTGAACATGGAGAAATGGATCTGTTTTCCCACCACAGTACATTCCCGATGGAAAATTTCACTTTATGTGCTTCAGGCTTAATAATTTATTTATATATTTTTAAAAATCTTATATTTGTGGAAGCAGCTTAAAAAGCTTGCAGGTAAGGAGGAATGCTTTGCTCCTCCTTTTCGACAGAGCCAGTGGCATGTTCATAGGAAAAGATGATAGCTTTCTTGTTGGTTTTGTTGTGATCCAGGGTGGAAAAAAGCCAGCGTGATGCAATTTCCCATAAACCAGCTGAATAAGTCAAAGCAGAAAAGTTTGTGAATCACTGCGAAGCACTCGGGGACTTCAGGGATGGAGATGAGGTGAGTGAACAAGGTGATTCAGTGGCTAGGGGTTTGCTTGTCACAGGCTCGTTGCGGCAATGCACGTGGGCATTGCTACCATTCCCAGCAGCCTATCCTTTATCCCAGTTTGGGAATGGGGCTTTTTTCGGGAAGGAGCTGCTCCCTCAAGTGTTCTCAGGAACTCGAGAAGCGTTGCTAATGACAATTTCCACAGTCAACGGATGACACAAAGCCAACTGAGCTGGAGAAGCTGGATTGGTACTGTGCCGTGGGAAAGGGAGGGAAAGACATGCACCCTAATGCTTGCTCAGCTGTGAGAGTGGAAACCATAATTCATCTTTCTTTTATCTTGCTCTGCTGTCAGAAACCAGGCACATAAAGAAGAACAGTGAAAACGTACCTCTCTGGGTATAGAGGGAAAACTGGGCTCTGTGGAAGCCACCAAGACCTGGTTACAGCCAGATCCTTTCTTGTAACTGGGTAGTTCAAGGCACATTTGAGCAATATCTTAACAGCCATGAGACTGGAAAAGATCCAGTGTTTTAATTTCAAGGTGATTATGCCTCAATAGTTAAGCAGGGTTGGCACTCCAGTGTTCACAACACTGAAATGCTGTTTGGCAGATTGTGCCTAGCTTGCTGAAATGGAGATGTCCACACAGGCATGTTGTAATGGTTTTCCCGTACTTGAAAGGCATGGCATACTGAGAAATCCTTGGAATAAATCAGTGTGGTTGAAGGAATAGTGATATAAATAGGACACTAAATGAGTCTGACCACTGCTGGAGGCTGTCCACCGCTGCGGTGTCTGGACATGGGACGCATCAGCTTGGTAGGATTATTTGCCTCTGGCTAGTGCAAAGTCACTTAACTCTCTCTAATGGCTTGGAAAGGTTTGAGATCTGGCAGAGCATCAGGAAACCACCTGAGCTGAGGTTGTTAAAGCTCCTTCAGACTGGCTGAGAGTGCAGGAGTGCCAGACTTCAGGGAGAAAGAAGTTGGTAGCGTGCCACTAAAAGTGTGGTGGAAAGGGAAGACCTACAGGTATTACTTGATCTAAAGATAACTGGGAGCCTCCAGTGGGATGGAGCCCTGGAAACAAAACCAAAACCAAACACAAATAAACAGGGGTGATATCAGCTCGTGTGCTGGGGTGTAAGGGAGGCTGTTAGCAGGGTAATTATGGTAGTGATAATACCCTGGCATGAAGACCCGGTGACTTCTTACCTTGCTTTTCTTGCCCCTGTCAAGAAAAATGGAGTCCTGATGGAAAAAAATAATGGAGATGGAAACTAATGGGAAGACTGTCCAGAGGAGACAACGAGAATGATGGAGCACCTCCCATATGGAGACAGGCTGAGAACATTGGGGCTGCTCAGCCTGGAGAAGAGAAGCTGTGTGGAGACCTCAGAGCAGCTTCCAGTGTCTGAATGTGGCTACAAGGATGCTGGAGAGGGACTCTTCATCAGGGACTGGAGTGATAGGACAAGGGGTGATGGGTTCAAACTGAAACAGGGGAAGTTCAGGCTGGAGATAAGAAAGAAGTTCTTTACTGTGATGGTGGTGAGGCACTGGAATGGGTTGCCCAGAGAATGCTCCATCCCTGTCAGTGTTCAGGGCCAGGCTGGACAGAGCCTTGGGTGCCATGGTCTAGTGTGAGGTGTCCCTGCCCACGGCAGGGGGGTTGGAACTTAAGGTCCTTTCTAACCTATACCATTCTATGATTCTATAACTGTGAGAACAGGATCTACCCCAAAAGATGGCACTGGAAAGCACGGACTCTTTTCAGCGTGGCAGAAATACACTGCAACCACTAAAAACAGAGCCACAGAAAGAAAAGCTCTGTAAGATGAAAGGTCACACTGGAATGAGCTGAGTTAAGACTAGCAAGAGTTAAATGAGACTGGCAGTCAGAGGTAGGGTCTAAAACACCAGGAAAAAAATGGGTTGTTTCTATAAACAAAGGCAGGGTAGAAAACCCACCTGCTTTAAGATAAATACGTGAAAGAACTGGTTTGATATAGCAGTTAGGACAGCCTTAGACAGCTCGTAGGACTCAGGAGGACCCAAGTTCCCATGTGGCGCTGTCAGCAGTGGAAGAAACTGAGCAAGATTTTGAACACTGACAGGAGGTCTAAGGGACTGCAGTTGTAATGTCATTTTGGGTCTGAAGATTAGAGACTACCAATGAGATGTGGTGTGGAGGGAGAACGACTTGTGTTCCAAAGGCCTTTCTGAGTTTTCAGTGCTATCAATCCAAAACAATCACCAGCCTTTCCCTGTGAAACTGTCCTTATTTATAAGGCAACCTAGGTAGATATAATCTCTCTGCTTATCACATATGCAAAGAACAGCAGATGATGTAAATCTGGTGTTCATAAGCAAGAAGGTGATGTGCTTTATCACTATCTGATCAAACTTCCATTACAGTCAAGGTTTGAATGGAAAAGCAAGCAGATTTTGCAGAGCTGTCTTGTGACAGGGAGGGTACACCGAGCTTTGGTAAACTCTTCCAGTGGTCAGTTATCAGCCATGTGCAAAATTAACCCTGTGTAAAATATTCCTCCTCTGATTTATACAGTGTCCTGGGTTCAGCAGTAGCAGTCATTTTTCTCCTTCTTAGTAGCTGATGCAGTGCTGTGGTTTTGACTTTCAGCCTGGGAACAGCGCTGATAACACCGATGGTTTTAGTTGCTGCCCAGTGATGTTTACTCTGACCAAGGACTTTGTGAGTCTCATGCTCTGACACGGAGGAGGGGAAGCCAGGAGGAAGTAGAGACAGGACACCTGACCCAAACTAGCCAAAGAGGTATTCCATACCACAGCACGTCATGCCAGGATGTAGAACTGGGGGCAGTTACATGGAAGGGCGAGATCAGTGCTTGGTGGGGCTGGGTATCGGTCGGCGGGTGCTGAGCGGTGGTATTCTCTTCCCTTGTTATTTCCCTTATCATTATTGTTATTGGTGGTAGCAGCAGTGGTTTGTGTTATACCTTAGTTACTGGATTGCTCTTATCTCAACCCATGGGAGTTACATTCTTTTGAGTCTCCTGCCATCCCTCTGGGAGTGGGAGGGGAGGAAGGTGGGGGAGTGAATGAGCAGCTGCGTGGCTGACTGAGTTTAAACCACGACGTACAGCTTCTACAGCCAGTTGCTCTTGTTACACCCTGCTATGAAGCTTAATTGCTCACTGCTGCCATTTTCCTCTCCCCCATGGAGATGCATTTTGTCTAGGACACCTCCTTGATAGACTTTGGTGAGCTCTTTGACTCCTTCTCTGTCTTCAAGGGCTTTAATCCTTCCATTGACCTTTCTCTGGACCACCTCTGATTTACCGTCTTCTATCATGCATTACTCAAGCCAGAACTGGATGTTGTCTTGCAGCATCAGGCTCTGCATCCCCAGATGTAAGTAGAATGGACCCTTCTGCCATGAGATGAGCATCAAACAACTGTATTTAACAACATGGACATGGCATCGATTTATGTGACGTCAATGTCTACCTTGGGAGCTACTTCACAGGATGGAGTCTGCTATCAGGTTTTCTATGGTGATGGCTGAAGTATAGGGAAATAGAGAGACTACTGATAAATGTATTGAGCCAACTTGAGCTCAGTTCCTGTGATACAGGGAGGGTTTCTTTTGCTGGGGATTTACCATCTTCTCTCCTGCACTACCCAGCCCAGAACTAGATGTTGTCTTGCAGCGTCAGGCACTCCAGCCCCAGATGTAAGTAGAACGGACCCTTCTGTCATGAGATGAACGTCAAACAACTGTGTTTAACACTATGGCCATGGTGTTACAGCCGTGGCATCAATCTATCTGATGTCAGTGTTTTGCTTGGGAGCTGCTTCACAGGATGGAGCCTGCTACCAGGTTTCCAGATGACTATAGAGAAATAGAGAGACTACTGGTCAGTGCATTGAGACAACTTGAGTTCAGTTCCTGTGATAAAGGGAGGGTTTTTTGCTGGGGATTTATGACCTTCTCTCCTGTGTTACCCAATCCAGAACTAGATATTGTCTTGCAGCATCAGGCATTCCAGCCCCAGATGTAAGAACAGACCCTTGTCATGAAATGAGTATCAAACAGCCGTGTTTAACAACATGGCCATGTAACACCACGAGTATTACAGCCATGGCATCAATCTATCTGATGTCAACACCTTCCCTGGGACC